ACGTTCGAACGTCCACTTGGATTATTTGAGGGTCAAGATGCTGAGACATGACGTGTTGCAGTCAAGAAGGAAAATACTAAGGTACTTGAGTACCACGTTCGAACGCCAACTTACGTTTGAACGTCCACTTGATTATTTGAGGACCAGGATCTGAAGGCAAAGTGTCAAGTTGTGCATGGAGTGTGGAAATGGGTTTCCACAAAAGACCACAGGCCAATTGAGTGGAAAGGTCAGACCCCATCTGGCGTTCGAACACCCATCAAGCAAGGACAGAAACAAAGTTTGAACGTCAGACAACGTTCGAACGTTGTCCCCAGACAGGCTGTAGAGTGGTTGATCTTCTCTCCGGACATTGGGACTTTCACTTGGACTTTGAAGGCCCTACACTATTCCATCACACACTCTTGTCCCCTCTCCTTTTTTACTATAAAATACTTCCATTGAGGGAGCTTCAAAGAGGAGTCTTTTTTTTAGTCTTGTAGATAACTAGAACTTGGTTTTGTAGTCTTTGACTACACCAAGACTAGTAAAAAGCTTGAAGGAGGCTTAGACTGCCACTTGTAGTTGTAGAATTAGTTTTAGACTTAGTCTTATATTTACTTGTATCAAGGGAGATAAATCATCTTTTGGTTGCGGTGAAAACCCACCAAAAGTGACTAGCTTTCTTCTACTTTCCTTAATTGTCTTTCACTTTCACTGCTTAAACTTTCTTCTTCCCTTAGAGGAGTGAAACTCTTTCATTTTTCTAGAGCTTTACCAAAGTTGTGAAGGGTGGAATGTGATTCACTTATTCTTTGTTGAAGATCGGTTCCTCGCTTATTGTGTTTTACCTTGTAAGTCCTCTACTTTGAGGGACGAGCATCACTCACTTTTCTAGCTTTACCAAAGCCATGAAGAGTGAGGAGTTTCTCATTCACTCTTTAGTAAGAGGTGATGGACATGTATAAATCATCTGGAAGTTATATTTTGTTCATTTCATTTATGTTTTAATGCTTTATATTACACCTGCTTATTGAATGATTGAATGCATCTAGCAAAGTTAAAGTACTTTGTATAACCGTGGGTTCTTTCTGTGACATGGATGACTCTTGCATAGAAAGATCCATGTTCTCAAGGCAAGTACTCTGGCTAGATTTTCATGACTACCTTTCAATCTTCACCATTATTGGACTTCATTTAAAAGATGGAATATTAACGCTATGGTTAGATGTCTTGTAGAAACACTTGCTTGTTTGTATATGGGTTGAGTCTCGGCACAGAAAATTCTTGTACTTCTAGAAAGGCATCGGAATCAGGTGTTTAATTTTCACAATCCACTTTTATATTCCGATTAACTTGCCATTGACACGGGAGTTAATTGAGTTACCAAGCACAAGTATAATAAACTGGATGATTAACTATATGTTCAGATTCTCGAGCTAAAGGGTGATTGTTTACATTTAAAATTATCTTATATTTTATCTAGAAAATTTCTTGGAAAGAATCTTATATTCTGTTTAGGAAATCTCATAACTTCAAACTCTCAAGGTTTCCAGTTATTTGGTCTCTATCACTGCTTACTTTAAAACACAAATCATAGTTTCATGTGGATTCGACTCCGGACTTAACCGGATTATTACTACAACTTGACCGTCTGCATTTGGGTGTACACATATCAGATCAAATCAAGTTTTTGACGCCGTTGCAGGAGAACCATAAAAGGTGTTTTAAGGTAAAAGTTATAAAGACCTTGCTTGTTGTATATATTCTTTCTTTGATTTATTGTGTATAATTTATTTTTTTTATTTGGCGTCGTTGCCGGGGAACCATAAAAGGTGTTTTAAGGTAAAAAGTAAGAAGACATTCCTTGTTGTATATATTCTTTCTTTGATTTATTGCGTATAATTTATTTTTTTTATGACTGAGGACGATCCTCACTTTCAAAATTTTTCAGCAGAATCTATTGGATTTTTGAATTATTCTGAACCATCTTCACCTAGATCAGTAACAGACCCTCTTGATAATAATATGGCAAATAATAAGAGACAAGTAGAAATTCTTGTGAGAGAGGGGGAAGTGTCTAACATCCGAACTCTGCGGGATTACTGAAATCCCACAAGAAATAATGTTCCCTCTTATTTTATCTTTCCTGAAAATGCACCACTCTTTACTGTGAAGGCGTGGACAGTTCAACTACGCTTTCAATTTCATAGACTCAGAACAAAAAACTCATATCTGCACATAAAAGAGTTTGAGGAAGTATGTGGAACATTTCAAGACAATTCTGAGCTGGCCAAAATAAAGCTTTTTTTTTGTTTTCTCTAAAGGATAAAGCTAAACAATGGCTAAATTCTTTAAAATCTCTTTAAATCCCCAACTGGTAGGCACTACAGAATGAATTTTTCAGAAAATTTTTTCCTCTACATCGCACTAATGCACTCAAAAGGCAAATCATAAATTTTTCAGTCAAAGAATGAGAAACATTTTACCAAAGTTGGGAGAGATTCAAGGATGTGCTCCAATCATGCCTACTCCATGCTTTTGAGAATTGGACTTTAGTATGATTATTTTATGACTCTTTGCCCACTAGACTACGTCAGTTTGTCGAAATGATGGCTTAAAGAGAGTTTATGGGTAAGAGTCCGGATGAGGCATTTAATTTTTTTGATACCATATCTGATAGTTCTCATATGTGGGACTCAGCCTCCCCTACCATTGTTGAAGTCAAACCATCTACTTTTCAAAAGGGTAAGTATGTCTCGAAAGATGATGACGACCTAAGAGCAAAAATGTCCACCCTATCTCAAAAGCTCGAAGATTTATAGATGCAAAAGGTTTAGTGTGGGATTTGTGCGCTGACAGGACACCCTACTGGGGAGTGTCCTACCATTCCAGCTTTCAAAGAAGTCTTGTTGAAACAAAAAAATGTCATTTCCAATTTCAACAAGCCTTACTCCAACCCCTACTCTGAAACATACAATCCAGCGTAGCGGAATCACCCAAACTTCAGTTGGAGGAACACACAACCCACTCCAATGAACCAACCACAAGGTTCACATCCACCATCTCAAGAACCTCCCACGTATCAACCATTCCAACCACCATAAACGAGGAGCATTTAGAATACCCTAAATCAGTTCATGCAAAGCCAAATGAACTATAACAATAGTTTCACTCAAAATTTTACTGATTTTTTAAAACCCAAACCACTCAATATTTCAAGGATATCAAAAGCCACATCCAAAATTTGACCCAATGCATGAGCACACACGAAAAAGGCAAGTTTCCTACTCAACCAACACCACCACAAGGCCAATTTCAGGTGGAAAATATTTCATTCATGAAAAACCCACATGACCAAGGCCAAGTTGTCACTATACTAAGAAGTGTCAGAGTGATTGACAAGACCATTAGAGACATGCTAATTTTCAAGTCAAAACCTGAATGGTCCCAGTCAATGCACCAGTAGAGCCTAAACTTGTGATTGAAGAATGGCCTGAGCCTATGATTTAACAAGAACCAGAACTAGAACCATCGAAGGAAAAAGAACCTTCGTGTCCTATTCTTGCTCCTTTTCCTCAGACTCAAAATTGTATAGAAGTTGAATAACTAGCCAAAAATTAATGAGATTTTTAAGCAAGTAAATATCAACATCCTATTTTTGGATGCAATCAAACAAGTTCTGTCCTATGTCAAGTTTCTAAAAGACTTGTGCACAGTCAAGAGAAGCCAGAATATCCAAAAAAGAGCTTTCTTGACAGAATAAGCCAGTGCCCTACTGCAACACAAAATCCCTTCAAAGTATAAAGATCTAGGGTGTCCTACTGTGTCGTGTGTCATTGAAAACTTTAGAATTGAACAATCACTGTTAGACCTTGGAGCAAGTGTCAATTTCTTCCCCTTTTCTATCTACCAACAGTTGGATTTGGGTGAACTCAAACACACTTGTGTCACACTCCAGTTGGCAGACAGATCTGTCAAAATTCCTAGGGGCATTGTTGAAGATGTGCTTGTCCAAGTGGACAACTTTGTCTTCCCTGTTGGCTTCATTGTTCTAGATACTCAGCCAGCAAAGTATTCAGAGAACCCAATTGCCGTCATTCTTGGTCAACCTTTCCTTGCAACTTCAAATGCACTAATCAATTGCAGGAATGGAGTCATGAAATTAACCTTTGGGAATATGACTCTTGAGTTGAATATTTCCAACGTTGCCAAACACCCAAGTGAGTACAAAGAAGAAAGAGAAATAAATTTCATTGAGTCATTAGTTCAGGAACATCTGAATAACACATGATGTGAAAATCCTACTGAATCTTCTCTATCGGAATCTATCACATTTAAGACAACAAATGATGATCCAAAGAATTTCCCCACTCATGCTGTTGAGACATGGGCCCCCAAATTCGAGGAACTTTCACCAAGTGACACAAAGCCACTCTCATCAAGTGTCAGCCCACTAAAGCCTGAATTGAAACCTCTCTTATCTGACTTCAAATATGCATTCTTAGAAGAGGACGAGTCATACCCAGTGGTAATTTTGTTTAAGCTCACAGACTTGCAAGAGTCTAAACTGATTGCATTGTTACTACAAGAAAGAGAATTATCTTAACACCTATAAGCACATAATTTATCATGTAACCAGTCATCATGATTGGGTACAAACATCATATGACCAAATTGAGCTACTTAAATCTAGGAGACAACTCGAGAGCCCCAAGAAGCTGAGGAAGAGAAAAGTTGATGAGCCTAGAAATCCTACTAGAGCATCAAAAAGAAATATACATGTTACATATATCAGGTGTCTAAAACAGGGACACAATATGAGCCATGCAAAAATGCACCTCACCCGTCATCAAAGAAATTCAAGGTATAAATTATCAGATATATAGTGAAATAGTTCAATCCATAAACTATTGACTAACTTTACTTTATTGATGATGTAGAATTCATGGAACAATAACACACCTTCATCACAAGCAACTGCTACAAATTCAACAGAGGATAATAGTGCACAATCCCAAATGCAACCAACATGGGTTAGAAATACAACATCAGGTCCACTAAAGCTTCCTGTGATAGGAAGAGGTTCAAGTGTGGGTGACACTGGCAGTACAACAGTGGGTGTTAATGACATAGACAAAGGTAGAGGTGCAACTTTTGGTGCTGGTGGCAGTGTAGCTATGGGTACTGGTGATAAAGACAGAAGTGCAGTTGTGAAAGGCAAAAGTGCAGTGGGTGGAGGTGGTAAAGGCAAAGGTGCAACTTTGGGTGTTGGTGGCAGTGCAACTGTGGGTACTAGTGGTAGAGGCAACATTGCAGTTGTGAAAGGCAAAAGTGTAGTAGGTGGAGGTGATAGAGGCAAAGGTGCAACTTTGGGTGTTGGTGGCAGTACAATTGTAGGTATTGGTGGTAGAGGCGGTAGTATAGCCGTGAAAGGAAAAAGTGTAGTGGGTGGAGGTGGTAGAGGCAAAGATGCAACTTTAGGTGCTCGTGGCAATGTAGTTGTGGGTACTAGTGGTAGAGGCAGCAGTGCAACTATGAAAGGCAAAAGTGCAGTGGGTGGAAGTGGCAGAGGCAAAGATGCAGCTTTGGGTGTTGGTGCTCCAACCATTTCAAGTCTTCTCCAAAAGATAAGACACAAAAAGAAGGGAAACAAACAAGGGTATTAGGGTGAAGTATCACCTTTTTGGTTTTTGTCTGAATGGAAACAAACACCATAACTTTTGTTATTGTCTGATGGAATCATCTTTTTGGTTGTAATGGGTGTAATCATATTTGGTTGTAAATTCTATTTTGGATAACCTATTTTTGTGACCTATGAATTCCTAACATTATGGTATTGGATGAAGTCTTATTTTATGGTGCTTGGTTTTAATTGGATGACAGTTATTTTGGCTTGTAGGAGTTTTAGTACTTCCTTAGTGATTGCCTTGGCAATTTTAGTGGCAAAATCTCTCCTCTTTTGCTTTATTGGCTTGAATAAGAGATCCACATTGAACCTATGGACTATCACCTATGGATCTATGCCTGACATGTTCTCATAACTCTAGGAAAAGACATATGTATACTCTTGCAAGATCTTCTCCACCTCATTTTTAATATGAGGGGAAAGATTGGAACCCACATATGTAATCTAGTCAGGCTTCCTTCCCAAGATCATCGAGAATAGCTATTTGTTGGGGCGTGCTCTCTCTAGGTTTTCTAGATCTCTAGGGTATAGGTTATCCACCTGACAAGTTTCAAACGCCTGAGAAAGCCTTGCTAATGCAATGTAGCATTCCTTTGCAATGGCCTAATCTCCTCAAACCTCTCCAATACCTTGACTTGTTGGGAATCGTAAGAAAAGGAGATAAGTTGACAGTACTGCTTTCAGGGCATTAAGGGTTGGCCTCCCTAATATGATGTACTAAGCTAAAGGGTAGTTCATTATTACAAAATCCACCATGTGCGTCTGCTGGCAGGGAGATTCTCCTAAAGTAACAAGAATTAAAATTGCCCCATTGGATAGACCCTTTCTCCAGAGAAACATATTAAAGGGGCCTTGAAAGGGCAGAGCTTTAACTTTCCTATGCCCAATTGATTGAAGGCATGAAGGAAGATGATATCTGCAGAGCAGCCACTGTCTACTAGAATTCTTCGAACTGTATGATTGGAAGTAACCACAAAGATCACCGAAGGATCATCATATAGAGTGTGGACTCCCTTGAGATCTTCATTTGTGAATATGATGGAAGGATTTCTGGGGAACACCTTTCTTGGTTGAATAAGGTTGATTTCTTCCTTCTCTACCCAAGCTCTCCGGGCATAAGCTTTCCTAGCTGAGTTTCTTTCTCCCCCTAAAGCAAATCCTCTAGAGACTACCTTGATTTCCTCTATTGGTTGTTGATGCTCTCGAGGCTCTGGAGGGCTCTTTCTTCTCAGCAATTCCTTTCTACAAATCTTCCAAGATGGCCCTTCTGGATCAAGTCCTTAGTCTGATCTCAAAGAGTAAAGAACTCTTCAATATCGTGTTTGTGGCCATGGTGAAAATGGCAGTACTTATCTCTGCCTCATTTGTTAGGAGGTGTTTTGAGCTTTCTAGGACATTTCAGGAGGTTTTCATTTTGTGCTCTAAAGAGAACTTGTTCAATTGAAGTGCTCAGGGGAGTGTAGGCCTTTGTTGCGGGTAAGTGGGGGCCTAACTTCTCCCTGGCTGGGACACGAATAGCTTTCCCTTTCTTCAAAATATTTGCTTTTTTTGACTTTTCTCAGCTCTTTTTCTTCTTCTCATAGGTAGAGCCTTCCATACCATTTTTCGCATTGACCACATCCCCTACATTCATATGGCTCTGAGATTTGGAAAGGGGCTTTGTCATAGTTTTGGAGGAATATTTGTGCATAGAGAAATAGAACCTAGAGGACCTAAGTTCGCTTATGAAGGTTGTCAAAGCCATCTTGTCATTGACATCACCTATTTGGAGAGACTTTTTTGTAAACCTTGCTAAATACCACCTGAGAGTCTCTTCTTTCATTTACTTGATATTGAGGAGAGAAGTGGCAAGTTTCTTGGGAGTCCTTCCTCCAATGAAATGTAAAAGAAGGGATTTTCAGAGCTCCAGGAAGGATCCAATAGACGAGTTGTTCCCTTCAATGTGGTAGGGAAAGCTCTACACATAACGACATCGAGGACATTGTGTAATAACATGAGAGATTTGTAGGTTTTCAAATTATCCAATGGATCCTTCTTGTCAATGAAAGTTTTGATAGTCGGTATCTTGAACTTGGTTGGAATAGAGTAGTTGGTGACATCCTGAGAGAAGAGTGACTCGAGCCTCTAAACCAGCATTTTCATTGTTTTTGGAGCTTGAGATTTCACGATGTTCAACACATCTCCAATTCGATCGTTTACCTTCTTGAACTTTTGATTCAAAGAGACTTTTTCTTCCTAATGTTGCAGAGAATCATTTTGACTACACTCATACACAAAGTTTGGTTCATAGCTGGGGTGAACTTCTTTAGAGCAAAGATCCTGATTTTTTGGTTGATTTTGAGGACCAACAAGTCCTTTCAAAAGTTAATTTTTTTGGGTTTCTTGAGCCATGTCTCAAATGGCTCGGTTCATCTAATCCGCATTCCTTTCGAGGTTGAAAATTTGTTGGTCCTCCTAATGACTATTGAGGTGAGGAGGGTCTAGGTCTAGGATTTCAAACCCAATATTTTCTTGAATAGGTTTTCCTCTAATAGGTTGTCTTGATTGGCATTCATTGCTTTGGTTGACCCCATACACTGGTGTACAACAAAACTAACAAAATAACTTTGGTTATCAAGTCATTTCCCACAAAAGGTGCCAAACTGTTGGAGTAAAAAATGTGTCCAATTGTTCTGAAAGCTATTTGTTGTTGATCTAGGCTTGGCTACACCTTTTCCCAAGATCTAGGTGAGCTTTTTGGCAGTTGTGGACCTGAAATGAAAGTCCAAGACTAGAGGAGTGCTCTGGCGGTCGACCCTCCAACACTCAACTCAGTATTTGGGAAGTTAAGGTGCAGTAATTGAACTGGGCTCAATGTGCATACTTGGGTCTTACACCAGAGGTCCCTTTTTATAGTATTTTGATAGGTGTTCTAGGCAGAGTGGACTCTAGGCTCTCCTAATAGTTTGAATTTGTCTAATCTCTTTTTAGTTGAGGATAATTTTTGTGGACTTTATCCTTTGTTGGGATAACCATCTAGAATCCTGACTATGCTAAGAGTTTGTTTGATCACGCAAATAAGGCTTGTCTAGAGTGGTATCTTATCCTTATCCCTTGGCTTCCTTATCTTCTTCACAGTGTTTAAACGAATTCCTCATATTGAACGAGTCTTTGGCAAATAAGGTTCATATTTTAAAATTAGGGATAAGCTTTGCCATCCTTCTACTTCCTCATCCCACTAGGTTGGGGAAAGCTGAATATCTAAGCTCATTATTCTTCCAGCTTTCCTTTCTCTCTAACAGATCAGTTAACAGTTACATTTCTAAAGGTAGTGTCAACTAGGACCTTTCCCTTAGTTGAGATTAAATTTTTCCCCATCAATGTGTATGGTAGATACTAAAGAAGCAACAAGAATTTTTGGGGAAAAAAAAGTATTTTTGTTTTAAGAATTTTAAGGAATATTTATGATGGAGTCGAAAGAGTTGAAAAAAAATTTGTGAAAAAAGGCACGAGCTTCAGAAAGCTAAAACCATCCGAACATTATTCCTACCGTCTGGACACAACTTTTAAAATATTTTTCTAGTAACTTTTTGCTGTCCGAACACAAGAGATACCATCCAGACGTGGTTTCAAATCTTCCAATTCCAAAGGAAGTTTACAGTCCGAACACCAGATTTATCGTTTGGACATGTGATTCACTATCCGGACACAGAGAAGACTATCTGGGTGCCCCTCCTTGATTTGGCCTTATCGTCAGACTTTATGAGGCGTGCCTCTTGGGAACCCTCAAAGTTTTTAAAATAGCATCCAGATGCGCCTCCCCTATCCAAGCATGACTAGCACATTGTAAAAGACGTAGATCGTCTTCTCCAATGCCATCTAAAATTCCAAACCTTAGAAACCAAAACCCTTTCTCCTATTTTTGATTTTTATACTCTAAAACACCCCTGAACTCTTCCAAAATCATTCCAAACTTCTTCAACCCAAAATTGACTCCCTAAACCATCCCTTCATGTTAGATTTTCAATTTCCAAACCCTCTCTCCAAAAATTTCAAAACCCACTTTGTCATAGAATGTCCCAAAAAGATCACATGCACTTGAGTCCAGTTCTCAGGCTGCTCAACGTTGCCAAGGTGTTCAGGCTTACCCAAGTGTTCAAGAATGTCCCAAAAAGATCACATCCAATTCTCAGGCTGCTCAAAGTTGCCAAGGTGTTCAGGCTTAACCAAGTGTTCAAGAACTGAGAGTTTTTGTTGATGAGAATGGGTTCAGGCATGATTTTGATCACCTTCATTTTCCTACCATTGAGAAGGATAAAAGGTACACTTAGTATTTTTCTGCTAGGCCTATAGTGATGGAGAGATATGTATTATTGCATGATTTTGATGTTTTTAGAGTTGGTCATGTTATTAGGGATATGGGATGGATGCAGGTTATGGAGAGTTCTGGGAAGGCTGCTACTCCTTTATAAGGGAATTTTATAGTAATGCTGAGAGGGTGGATTCTAAAAGAATTCATACTTTTGTGAGGGATGTTAATTTTGTGGTGGATTCTGCATTAATTTTTAGTTTAGTTGGTGTAAACTTGGTACCTAGGCCACAGTTTACATTGACTACGGTGTTGGATACACAAACAATGGCTAGGGAGTTAACTTGTGACCCCCATTTTGTTTGGCTACATAATTCCAAAATGTTTAAGTAGGGGTAGTTAACTGACGAGTACAAGTTTCTTAATTGGATTTTTGTTGCAAACCTATTGCCACTGAGTAGGAAAAACCTTGTTTACCCCAAGAGAATAGAGATTTTGTATGCCCTAGGCACCAACTAGACCATTTGTTTGGTTTCCCTGATCATGGCTGAGATGTAGAGGGCCCTGAAAGAGACAACCAAAATGCTTTTTTTCTTGCCCATAGTGATGTGGGTAGGGTTGATGAGCTTGAGTTAGAGGATGATGAGGAAGAAGGTGGGGAAGTGGAGATTGGAGAAGGAGAAGC